TGTTTAGATATTTTATCTGGACATTCATGCATTTTAAGTGTGCACAAATTTTTTTTATTAAAATTTTAAAAAATTTAATTAAATTCATAAATAAATTTTGTTTATTTGTTTATTTATTTGTTTGCTTAAATAAAAGAGACGTGTTTCAGTGTGGTGTTTGCCTGTGCATCACTCTGCGTAGCACAAAAGCACAAATGCTTAGTGATGAATTATGCTCTGATGATTAAGACTTTGAGCAAGGCATTTCTTCTAAATCTCAGTATGAGCAATAACAATGTGACTTAACTTCCTAGCCCACCCCAAACAAACTGTCACAGACAATCCAGGACTATTGTGACATCTCATGTGTGGAAAAAAAGGGAATGACATCTGCAGGCTTTCCCTGCGTGGGACAAGACCGAACAATAGCATTCTATAAAGGCCTGGAGTAAAATCCGCGTGCCTGTCCCTCCCCCAGGCTGCCCCATTTCCTGTGAATTAATAATGCCCTCTATTTTTGGCTTCAAAAAGGAAATGCGGGCTGTTGAAATGCTCTAATTTGGTTCTTGCCATAAAAATGCCATTAGAACAATTGACATGTTCATTTATCTAAATGCTGGCCATCTACTCATGAATGACCTTGTGGATTACAAAGAACAATAAAGATAATTATGAAGAGCCCATGCCAAATATGCTAATTAATTATGGAGCTCAATTGTGATGATTTCAGATTTAGTATTTTAGTATCTTCAGTATATGCATTTATTAAATTAGTAAGGTGTGTGTGTGTGTGTATATATATGCTTAATGAGCATTTGAGCATTGTATTCTTTCAAAAACATAAAAAATGAAATGCATTCAATATATATGGCCTCATAAGGACATAATATCATAATAAACATGTCATGTTTTGTTGTGAGTTACGATTTTGAATTAGTCAACTCAGTTCTGTCTACTGTAACTTGATAAGCAGCATTGTTTTGCACAAAATCCTCCACAGATGTTTGCATCTTTGCTATGGCACTTATCACAGCCTGCCAGAATGCAAATCCATATGCTTAATGAGCATTTGAGAATTTGAGCATTGTATTCTTTCAAAAACATAAAAAATGAAATGCATTCAATATATATGGCCTCATAAGGACATAATATCATAATAAACATGTCATGTTTTGTTGTGAGTTACGATTTTGAATTAGTCAACTCAGTTCTGTCTACTGTAACTTGATAAGCAGCATTGTTTTGCACAAAATCCTCCACAGATGTTTGCATCTTTGCTGTGGCACTTATCACAGCCTGCCAGAATGCAAATCCCTCTCAGGTTTCTCTGTGAGATCTACAAACACTTCCAGATTTCAATCAGTACAGGAACTGTAGTTGTGTTGGTTTATTCTGGGCAGAAATCGGATGGGCTTTGATTCTGTAGAGAACTCAGACCTTCTGACAGTAACACACTGAATCTGTTTTCATAATAGATTAAGGGCGTGTTCACACTTGGCAGGTTTGGTTCGGTGTGACTCTTGCGCAATTGCTCTGTCAGTGCGGTTCATTTGAATAAGCTTTTTAGTAGTTATAAGCTGGTAAAAATATGTAGACGCATGCAAAAAGCGCATTTAGCCCAGAACACAGCATTGTTTTGGATGTTCTGTAAGTTTGTAAAATACATGTCATAAAAGTTGTCCGATCAGGTTGTGACCATATCCTTATGCCTTTTGTATATCTTTAGGTTCGGTGTTAACGATGACAGTGTGAATGCTAAGCGAACCAATGTATCGTTTTATTTTTTGGTCCGGACCACAATCCCAGCTAAAGTTTCTGGTTCCCAGAATGTTACTGAACGGACGTTCTAACGTTCTAGTTTAGTTAGCCAGGAAAGTTTTCTTTACATAAACAGAGGTTCCCTGTAAGTTTGGAGAATGTTCCTCTAACATTCCCAGGACGTTCTTATTTGGTTCCCAAAATATAAGCAAAGGGGAACATTAGGGGAACATTCTGTGATTGCTGGGAAAAACAAATAAAAAACAAATTACAAGTGTAAACGCACCTGAACAATCAGCATTCAAGGTCATGGGTTCAATTCCCAGGTAATGCATAAACTGATCAAATTTATATTTTAAATGCAATTTATGCATTTAGATTTGCTCTGGATAAAAGCATCTGTCAAATGCCTAAATGTAAATCTGATGTAATATTAATGACGCTCATCCGGTCCTAAAATCCTGTGCTTTTTTCGATCAATAAAACCAATATAATTGCCTCGCCTTTATTTATACCAGCTTGTCTAGTGATAAAATATGGCTGGCTAATGTTTATTTTTCCATTGAGACTCTTATTCGCTTTATATTCACTCTTGGGGAATATTATAAGCCCTCTACAAATGTATTTGTGACTGATCTAGCAATCTACAACAATCTGGCAACTCAGTTCTGTTACATTAAACCTGTGGTTTGTGCTAAAGATGGCAATGAGCATTGCAGGTTTTTCAAGGTCAGCTGATCATCATATTCTCAGTTTATGTGCCGGTGGTCAGCAAGACGCTAATATTCCCAGCTGTTGTCCAGGAATTTTATATGAATTGGTGCTGCTTTCCAGAGCTGAATATGAACTAGAAACATTTTAAACAAGACAGGAAAGAGAGAAGGTGTCAGCAAAGTTAAAACATATGTTGATAGATGTCTTCCATGCTGCAGTAAGATTTCCTGAAAGAGGAGAATTCATAGTCTAAACATTCTTGTAGGATGAAAGAATGACTTACTGTATGTGTATAGATAAATGTTCAAACTTTAAAAGCATAACATGAAAACATTCCTCAATGCAGTTCAAGGTTTATTCTTACAGTCTACATCTAATTCCGCACAAGTGCCTATTGTCAGATACATTTTTACATTTACAGACTTTAAATACATGAATAACATATAATCTATGAAAATAAAATCAATACATAACATGTAAAATAGCAAATGACCTTTTACAAATGACTAGCCTTTATTTCATGCAAATATAAGATTGACAAGGGGGTGTGTTGAATCTGAATAGACTTAGGGATCATCTCAAAAATCTAATCACACAAATACTTTCCTTATATTTGTGTATTATAAATGTATTTTTTTCTGTCGCTTTCATTTATTTCTGTCACAAACACACACATGCTCATATACAATTATAGGATTTTCTTAGTGTTATTAACCAGAAGCAGTGTTGATCTTTGACATCTTGTTTGAGTTTTCATTAGACTTTGATCAGATTTGTATTAAAAACACATTCTAAATATACGCAATGCAAACTGCAAAAAAAAAAAGTGATAAATTATGTATTCTCAATTTAATAATAAATGTTGAAATGTTACACTATTCATATGGGATAAATCAAAAATTTCTTGAACTAAAAAAAAAGACCACAGATCAGAGGTTGCATGAAATTAACACTGCATGAACACTAAAATATACTGTAGTAGTTTGAGTTTAGTCTGTTTAAAAGTCCTTATGAGAAAATGTCAACAAATTTATTTTTTATTTTATATTTCTTTTCATTTTTTTTATTTTAGTTCATTTTAGTTCATTTCATTATTTAATTTTTTTATTAAATTTTTATCTCGTTTTTTATTTTATTTGTATTTTATTTTATATTTTTGTCATTTAATTTATTTAGCTTTCATTTCATTATTTAATTTTTTATTTTATATCTCATTTTTATTTCATTTTTTATTTTATTTGATCATTTTGTCATTTTATTTAACGTATTAAAAGGGGTCATATTTAGTCACTATTTAGTGTGGTATTTTTGACAATATTCACTCATCATGACAGTAAAATAGGGCATTCTAAGTCAATATACTGCAGTATTTCCTCTCTCAATCAGTAGAAAATATGGGTAACACCCTGTCATGCATGAAAAAAAAATACCGTCATGTATATTTGTGGTCATACCGCCCAGCACTATTTTCTTTTATTTCGTTTCGTTTTGTTTTGTTTCATTTCGTTCATTTCATTTATTTTTATTTTATTGTATTTATTTGTTTATTTGAATTTGATTTGATAATCAAAAATGACTGAGCATAAAAATATGGAGACAGATCAGCCTCAAAAATAACACATTTGCAAAACAAAATTCATAAATGCACAGCACGATTTACATTTACAAAATCCGATTCGTAAATTCAAAGCACAATTCATAAATACACAAGTAAAAGCATAAATATTTCCCCAAATGCTCACACAAATGCATCTTACCTAAATACGTTTAAAATGTTTACACAAATATGTATATATCAAGGTCTTGAATTAATTTCCATCACACATTTATGAATGATGTTACATGTATTTATGGATCGTTGAATCTGCATTTGCAAATCGTCACATTTGCGTGGACTGCTTTGAATTTGTATGTGGTATTTTTGAGACCTTCCTAGCAGGTTAAGATTCATAAATATCTTTTTTTGGAGGATGTTCCGTTCAGCCAATCGCGGTGAGCTTTTAATCCACCAATCAAAACACTTTTTACTGAACAGACGCTTGTACTGTGCAGTGTTCCGTGATCGGGTCCTTGATATAAAGACATTTTAATGATCAGTGTTGGGCAAGTTACTCTGAAAATGTAATTAAATTACTGATTACTCCTTTTAAAAGTAATCATGTTACTGTTCTGATTACTTTATTTCAAAAGTAATTAGTAATTAGTTGCAGTACTAGTTACTGTTGCTTTATTCTCCATTACATTTATGAAATCCCAGCATACATTTTATTGAAATATTTATGTTTTTACTTGTGTATTTATGAATTGTGTTTTGAATTTACGAATCGGATTTTGTAAATGTAAATCGTGCTGTGCATTTATGAATTTTGTTTTGCAAATGTGTTATTTTTGAGGCTGATCTGTCTCCATATTTAAAAGACAACACTCACGGTCTAAAGTCTGACGGTAGCCGTTCACGCTTTTACACGTTTTAGTCAGAGAAGGGAAACTGCTGACAGTCCCTTACTGTAGCATTAGGAGCGAGTCTTGAGCTCCGTGGAGTCACTCTCTGCCTGACCTGTGGACAGAAGAGGCTGTAGTACGCGTGGTCTCTTACATTTACACTCTTGTTTACTGACGGCGATGCAATTTCAGTTTTAAGCGTTGGAAATAAATCGTCCAGGATGACGGTGGATTTTGAAGACTGTATCAAAGATTCACCCCGCTTTCGGTAAGCTGAAATATCTGTTTTCCACGATACGTTTGTGATGAGAGGTTTACATTGATTTAGTTAGTTGGGTGATATTAGGCGCTGTAATTAAATAATGCCATGTTGCGAATGAGATTTTGCATAGCTTTTATATATTTCCAGTTGCAAGTCTGCTATTCTGTTGTTTACTCCATTTAATTTTAGTGAATGGAATTTTTAATTTTCGTTCATTTCGTCGGTGCCATGCAAATTCATTATTTGCCAGTCCTAGTGAAGCTGAAAAATGTATGTAATTTGAACAGAATTGTTACTGATTTATTATTGTTATTATTATTATTATTATTATTTACCCGTGCGTTTTGAAAAGCTGTTCGTAAAGCTCAAATCTGGTCTGAGAACTAAAATGTCGCAGGTTTGAATCTCAGGAGTGATTCTCCATTGATCACCATTGTGCTCTTTATCAAAATTATGACATAATGTACTATTTTGGTGCTAAAAGAGGTACGATGTGGTTTTGTCCCCCTGTAAACACACAATAAGATAGCGCACAGACTGTCTAGGCTGCTCTTTTCCATGCAATGAAAGTGAATGGTGCCGCGGTGTTGAAGCTGCAAAATTGAAAAAAGCACCAACAAAATAGTCAATTTGACTCGTACACTTGTTAAGTATGCTAAAGTGTGAGTGAAATTAAGTGATTCATTCACTGCTATTGTGCGCAAATCTTGTCTACATAATACTTGATCAAACTGAGGGTGAGTAGATTATGACAGATTTTTAGTAACTTGGGATAAAACCTCTACTAAATGAGTAATTAGTCTGCAATTTGTTGCTTGAGTCATTGATTTGTCCCTAATTACCTGTGAGAACTGCCGATCAGATGTTACATTAGTACTCTGGTGGTGCTTAACACTTACTGGCTTAATGGTCAGGATTTACACTTGTATAGCACCAAATCTGTTCACCGAAAGACCTTGTATTGATGTGATGTTGATTGTAGTTTCCACCATGTCAGCTGACTGAGTGTGAGAGGGATGTTTGGCCAGCTATTCAATGCCCAGCAGTCATTGATTTTCCATGATTCACTCAGCGTGGCTCATATCCCATGCACTAATGTCCTGATGTTCCTCTCTATGCCTCAGAGTAGTTTTTTGGCTGTGGTTATATGGGCACTTAAGGTTGAATCATGCACAGCATTTCTTCATGCTTGTTTCCTTTTGTTTCTTTGAGTTAATGCTCAAAATAATGCCTCTTTGTCTTGGCTCTAAATGTGAAATAAAAATTTCTAAGTATTTTTGCTCACCAAGGCTGCATTTATTTTGTAAAAAAATTTTTTTTTTTTGCAATTTAAAGTATCTATTTTCTGTTTTAATACATTTTAAAATGTAATTTATTCCTGTGATGTAAAGCAGAATTTTCAGCATTATTACTCCAGCCTTAAGTGTCACATGATCCTTCAGAAATCATTTTAATATTATGATTTGATACTGAAGAAATATTTCTTGTTATTATCAACAGTTGCGCTGCTTAATATTTTTGTGGAAACTGTGACAATTTTATCTCAAGATTCTTTAATGAATATAAGGTTCAGAAGAACAGCGTTTATTTAAAATATAAGTTATTGGTTACAATTTAGTGCATCCTTGCTGAATAAAAACTGTAATGAAAAGAAAAATTTAATTAAAAATATACTATATATTTAAAATGTACTAATATATATATATATATATATACTGTATATATAAGTACATTTGCCGATATTTCTCAGGTCATGTTGGTTGTCATGAAGCACACTGGGTAAAATGCTACAATTTAAAGCAGAGCGGCTTGATACAGTGTAAATGTAAATGGCTGAGAAAATTCCATTCCCATCCGATGGCTCGCTTGACAATATATTCCGAGAGGAAGGAGGTACGTTGCTCCAGCGTCATGGTGGAACATGGGATCTAAAGAATTCTGAATGTCCCACGCACTGACTCTAGCTGTGACTGTGGTAAGCACCGAGATCCAGAGGTTAGACAAATAAACCAGCATTCCTTTACACCCACATCCCCTCCTCAGCACCAGCTCCAGTTACTCCCCACGTGAGCATTTGTGTGAGTAAATGTGTCGGAGTGTGTGTGTTTGAGAGGGCGGCATATATAATCCCTGCTCCAAATCAAAGACTTCCAGACTGGGAAGCAGCACCTTGATGCCATCTGTCTGTCTGAGTCAGGGCTCCGCAATCTCTTCAGGGATTTTCAGGAACTTTCTAATGTTTATGAAGAAACTAGATTGTTAAATCTTCTCAAGAAGCCACAGTGTTTGAGACTGAGATGTCATGCGTATCTGAGCACAAACATACATTAATACTTTGGGTGAGCGAGGGGACTTGCATTGTCCAAAGGAGCAATTAGGACACAAATAGTGAGAGAATACTGTGATTTTCAGGGCAGTTGGCTATTTTAGAATTATAATTAAAATATAATATTTATAAGTTTGTTTTTTCTTCAATAATTCAAAAATTTTCAAGAATTTTCTGGGCACAATTTGTTATATTTATAAGTGTATATTAATATTTGAATGTATAATAAATGTAATAAACAAGCTTGTAATCAAATTTTGTCATTCATTACCTAAACATTTTCAAACCCAACATTTTCAAACAAAAAGAATACACTACTGTTCAAAAGTTTGTGGTCGATAAAAATTATTTTTGAACATCTCTTATGCTCACTGAGACTACATTTATTTGATTAAAAAATGCAGTAAAAACAGAAATATTATTACAATTTCAAAGCACTGTTTTCTATTGTAATGCATTTTAAAATGCTATTTACTCCTGTGATGCAAAGCTGAATTTTCAGCATCATTACTCCAGTCTTCAGTGTCGCATGATCCTTCAGAAATCATTCTAATACTGATTAGATACTCAAGAAACATTTCTGATTATTATCAATGAAAACAGTTAATGTTTTTGTAACCTTGATACATTTTTTAGGATTCTTTGAATAGAAAGTAAAACAATTTTTTAAATTAAATATATATAAAAAAAAAATCTAAATAGAAATCTTTTCTGTCACCTTTGATCAATTTAATGCATCCTTGCTGAATAAATTATTATATGAAATATTATTAACTTAATTTTACTGGCCCCAAAATTTGAGGGTGGTTCAAGCCTTGATTAGCATCCTGGACACAAGCACTGTATTAAGGGCCTTAGTATGGAGGTAAAAGCTGTTATGTAAGATCCCACTATGTTTCTTTTTCCTCTTCTAAAACATTTAATACAATCTACTTCCTTCACTTGTTGCTGCATGCTGCGCATTACCTCTGCATGGCTAGTTTCACACACTGACTCTTTTGTAACCTTGATACATTTTTTAGGATTCTTTGAATAGAAAGTAAAACAATTTTTTAAATTAAATATATATAAAAAAAAAATCTAAATAGAAATCTTTTCTGTCACCTTTGATCAATTTAATGCATCCTTGCTGAATAAATTATTATATGAAATATTATTAACTTAATTTTACTGGCCCCAAAATTTGAGGGTGGTTCAAGCCTTGATTAGCATCCTGGACACAAGCACTGTATTAAGGGCCTTAGTATGGAGGTAAAAGCTGTTATGTAAGATCCCACTATGTTTCTTTTTCCTCTTCTAAAACATTTAATACAATCTACTTCCTTCACTTGTTGCTGCATGCTGCGCATTACCTCTGCATGGCTAGTTTCACACACTGACTCTTCACATGGCATTCATGCATCCACACCCTGTACAATTATCCATCCCTGTCATCTGGAGCAATTCTATTCCTGCCAGTATCTGGCAACCCTCAAAGACCTTGCGCTTTGGATGCAGACCCGTCCAGTCACTCTGTGAATGGTCATTTGAAAGGTCAAGGCCACAAAAGCGCCAGTAGGTTTTGCATTTAAAAAAAGTCTATTTTGTTTGTGCTCAATCAAATATGTAGTTCATAATGGAGGTCATCTGCATCATTTATGTGCAGTTTTCAGATTTCGGTTATACGTCTAACAAATACGGAGTAGATTGTAGCCACCTGACTAAATATTATTCATCATTCCTGACTCAAGTCTGCTGTGTCACCTTCCTTTCCAACCCCCGCTGAGAGCGGACGAATGCATTCCAGGGCCTGGACAGAAGTTCCTAATTTCATTACATCTCCAGAACTTTCACTTCCAATCTCCAGTTTCGTTTGAGGCCTTTTACTGTCTGGGGAAACACAAAGCACATTCGAGCCGGTGTTGTTTGGGTGCTAAGCTTAATGGTTCAATCAATAAAGTGTCTTACGTAATGACTCGCTGGAGAACGGACTGCTGGTTTCTTTGAAGCTCCATCCTGTGATGCTTTTTAAGTTACTTTGTTGTTTCGTTGAGTGCACTTGAGGCTTTTGCTTGCGTAAAATGGTTATGAGAGGTCACTGCGGCTATATTTGTCCATGACCACTCTATAAGACTGCATTTAGCAAGTAAGAGACCTATCATCATATAAGAGCTTTTATTATCATTCTTATAAAAAATATTGGCATAAAACATTCAGTGGACACTGTGCAGATTATATATTTGAAAGAGGCTTATATGTGTTTGATTTTAGTTCAATTTGTTTTAATATCAAGTACTAGGGATGCACAATATATCAGAAATATCAGTTATATCAAAATATATAAAATATATCCAATATAACAAAAAATATTGGATATATTTTAGCCTACTGTATATTGGATATTTTGTTGTGCATGCTTGTTGTATATTTACATCTATTTTAACTATTTTTAGATCACATTTGTTAACATCTAATGCTCAGTTCATCTTTAAAAACATTAAGAATTTTATAACATTGTTAAATATAATCATTTGTGTTTATAATCATTTGTTTATTTTGTTTCATGTTTTAATTTGTCAATTTTATATTTTACTTTCCTATTTTTTAGTTTTATTTCATTATTCATATATATGTGTGTGTGTGTGTGTGTGTGTGTATTATAAATGTCATTGCCTCTCTTTTAAAAAAAAAAAATCCTTTT